AGACAGGGTTTCTCTGTGTGCTTTGGAGCCTTTCCTGTGGAACTTACTCTGTAAACCATTGCAGCTTAGAATTTACAGAGTTCTGCATTCCTCTGCCTCCGGAGTGCTGGGATTAAAGCCTGTGCCTCTATTGCCTGGAACATTACATTCATATATTCATTTGGAATTTTTCCTATTGGATCTGTCCCTTTGTTGTTCAGTCATGAACTCATCTTGAGTATGAACATCACCTTCTTTATGTTCAGTTGAAATTGCTGAGTGTTTCAATGATTTCAGTAAGAATTGTCATGTTCAAGTGCATAAACTGTTGATTTATAGTTTCTGTTATTTTCAAGTTAGGGTGATTTGTTCTGTTTATTTTTTTTGCTCAGAATTATTGATCTGTCTGTGCACAACACAACTTTCATGTAGTCAGAGGAACACTGAACATTGTATATCAGTGATTTTTTTCTACATATGGTATCACTGAAGGAAAACTGATATCCACAGGTCTGGCAGAAGGTTCTTTCAGCATTTGTAGAAGATATTAGAAAGCATGTCTTTCCTTCTACCTTATTGAATAGTTGGAGAAATATCAGTGTCAACTCTTTTTAAAAGTCGGGTAGTTTACATACATGAATATATATCATAACAGGCTTTTATTCCTTCAGACATTTCATCATTGAAAACCTTTAAAAATACAAATTTAGTTATTAAAAACAATCTTGTTTTACAAACCAATCTGCCAGTCTCTCCCTCTCGTCCTACCATGTCCATCACCAATCCCCCATCCACACCCCAGGGAAGATGAGGCTTTCATTGGGGGGTAATCTAAGTCTGTGCCATCATATGGGACAGTATCTAGGTCCTCCCCTATGTATCTATATTGAAAGAGCATCCCTCACTAGTGAATGGTCTCCCAAAGACTATTTGTGCATGGGGATAATTACTGTTTCCATGGCAAGAAGTCCCATAGACTGCCCTAGGCCCCCAACTGACACCCAATTTCAGGCTGCCTGACTTGGTCCTATGCAGAGAGAGACAGGGTGAGAGAATGATAGAGAGAGACATCTCTCTCACACACACACAGGGCTTGTTTTCACTTCCTGCTATTTATAAACATCTGTGAAATAAAAAAGTATGTCTCTCTCACTCACACACACACAAACACACACACACACACACACACAGAGAATCTCTCTCAC